TTATTAATAATTGTAGTTAACTCCCCCCCTCCTTCATTTTCGGTATATACAGAGTGTCCCGACAATGTCTCGCAATTCGGAAATGGGAGGTTCCTGAGGTGATTTGAAACAACTTTTTCCTTTGCGAAAATGTTCTCCGAGGCTTCGTTTACGAGTTATTAACGAATTACGCTGACCAATGAGCGATCGCGCACGCCGACGCCCCGCCCTTACGACCACTAGAGGAGCAACGCGTCGCGGCATTGGCCGTCAGGGCGGAGCGCCGGACGCACTCGTTCTCCGATTGGTCCACGTTTTCCGTTAATAACTCGTAAACGAAGCCGCGGATTGCATTTTCGCTGAGGAAAAAGTTACTTCAAATAAACTCAGGAATCCCCTATTTTCGGATTGCGAGACCTTTTCGGGACACCCTGTATATATGTGTTATACATATATTGCCCAAAAGCAGACGTTTCGACTGCTTGGGAAATTTAAAATAATCAGATGACTCTTATTATTGAATTGAATAAATTTCTTATACGACCAGTTCGGCTCTGTATTGAAATAACATTTTTCAATCTTTTCGATTACCGTTACACGATAACATACAAGTACATGATAAATTGTCGATTTGGGCATATACTAGATAAGTCGCAGTTGCTCAATAAGCTAAAGTAGTACTTGTTACTCGTATCTTAAATTCTTTTTATTTCTTAATATTTACTAACAACCTGTTATATAACTGTAAATAATATAAGAAAACATTAAAAATTAATTTTAAACAAATGTCTTTACACATTAGTTATTATTCTTTCACAATGCAGTCATTTTAACTGCTTTTGGGCAATATATAGGTATATACTAAGTTTCGGTCTTTCCAGTGTTAATTAGTAGACCGCGGATTTTTGCGCGAAGTAAAAGTCTTCTGCATCGGTTATTCTTTGGTAGCGATGACGATGATGATAATAAGAATAATAATAATAATAGCTCGCGCTTGTTCTCACTGGGGCGTACAACGTTCGAACACGTGTTTACGTAAGGTAACGTAACGTAACGTAACGTAATACGTTGCCGGCCGACGTTTCATCCTGGAATCCGAAGCCAACTTTCGGTTCGAAATATTGGATCTATTGTATCCTGTTTCAGCGAAATGAAATTTCAAGGAGAGAACCTCGTTTCTCTCGAATCGGGCCCGAACGAGACTCGTCGAGCCTGGCGCAAGCTGTCGAAAGTGTCGTCCGATCGACGTTAGGACTCCGTCGACGACGCATCCGATTCAATTAGGCGTTGCAGTTCATTTTCTGGGCCGCGACGCGTTTCTCAGAAGCCGATCGAGCTTGCTAAGTGCGCTAAAGCGTTCCACGTTCGTGCGCGGACAGCTCAAACAAACGTCGAACGAACGTAAACATGATCGATAATAGGCGTCTTTTTTTATGCAACTCGCGAAAGACTCTCGAGTGAGATCTCGCGCGACCGTACAACGGCTTCGAAAATACAGGGTGTCCCAAAAATGTCTCGCAATCCGAAAGTAGGGGATTCCTGAGGTCATTCGAAGCAACTTTTTCCTCAGCGAAAATGCAATCCGTGGCTTCGTTTACGAGTTATTAACGGAAAACGCGGACCAATCGGAGAGCGAGTGCGCCCGGTGCTCCGCCCTGACGGCCAATGCCGCGACGCGTTGCTCCTCTAGTGGTCGCAAGGGCGGGGCGTCGGCGTGCGCGATCGCTCATTGGTCAGCGTATTTCGTTAATAACCCGTAAACGAAGCCTCGGAGAACATTTTCGCAAAGGAAGGATTTCGCTTCAAATCACCTCAGGAACCTCCCATTTCCGGACTGCGAGACATTTTCGGGACACCCTGTAGGCAAAATTTCTAGCGCTGTCGCGTTCGATTCGGTCACGGGTAAAAATATAATATAATATAATATAATATAATATAATATAATATAATATAATATAATATAATATAATATAATATAATATAATATAATATATATAATATAATATATTATATACATACATATAATATAAATATATAAATAATATATAATATAATATTATCCGCGTCTTAACCCTTCACACTCGAAGCTATTTTAACTGAAAATATAAAATCAATTTTCTAACTTATAGTATTTCTACTTTACGTGACAAAATGCATTTTATGCATACGAAATTGACTCTTGGGACTCGAACAACAGTTACACTCTTTTCTAAATCTAAACTTTATTAATAAAATTTGTCAGAATTATCTTAAAAGATGACATAACAAATTTTAGTGGTGCCTCAGAGTCGCCACTCGAGCGCAAAGGGTTAAAAATCAGCCAGGATTTAGCGAGCAATAGATTCGTTATTTTTCTAGGTCGTCTGTCTGCACGCGAAAACCGATGCTCGACTGCGATAAAAAAAAGAAAGAGAAAAACGTTCGGTTTTCCTTGTGCGTGTTCTCGAGGAAAAAAACATTAATTCTCGTCGACGAAGGAAAGCTTTTAATAACGATCAAGAAGAAAACAACAGCTCTCGTGCATACCAATTTTCTACGGGTGGTACACGTACACGGGTTTCCACGTTCCGTTGATAGGCGTGTTCGCGATACAATGGGAACAATAAAGGCAAATTGTAACGCGACGAAACCTTCGCCCACGCTCGTTGCGTGTACGCGTGTTGGAACTATTAACGTCGCATCAACATCGGCGTCAACGGAACTTTTTTTCGCCGACGGAACTCCGTGTGTCGGCTCGTCGTCGACAGCGACTAATCGGAATTGTCAATTTCGAGCAACGTGACAAATTATCATGGAAGAAAAACGAAAACCCGTTCTCTGGAATTCTTTGGCAAATTCCGAAGACCGTCTTGCGACTTGTTTTTCGAGTTGGCTCGGTTCGTTCGCAAGGATAGCATTCAGCACGTATGTACATTTAGGAGTTTCGAATCGAACACCGAAGTTCAACCGTATCCGACGGCATGCGCTATAATTCGACACAAGTTTCGACTTTTGTTTCGAAAGCGTTGCTTATACATACGTAAGTTGCCGGAAAGAATCGAGCGTTTCGCAAACGGCGCTCGTAACATGGTAGCATCGAGACATTTCAAATCCGAGACCGTCGCGGATCAAGGTTAGGTGGTATTTGTAAGCGCATACCGTGTAAGAATTCTCGGAATACTTTTACCGATCTCGCCCGACGAGTTCGGGCTCGCTTTTAAAAGTATCGCTCCGTTTTATCGGAACACACGCACACGCGCATACATACCGAGAAACTATCTTCGATCGGCGTAATCGTAACTGAATCTAATCGTATCGATATCAATTCGCGATTCACGGGATACGAGGCGCGTGAAATACGAACGAGATTACATTACATTGAACGTTATATGTGCGTAGCGTTCCCTGCGTTAAACGCGTTGTACGCGTCTAGTTCTGCGCGCGTACATCAATGTATGTATGTGTCAACGTACCTGTCATCGTGGAGGCGTTTCAAATCGGTCATCTCGCGCTCGAACTTGAATTTGGACACTTCGCAGAGCAGCGCGTCCCGCTCGCCGATGACCTCGTTGAGCTCCCGTTGCAATCTCTCGATCTCCGCATACTGCCGGCTGATCAGTTGGTTCTTCTCCTCGAGGATGGTCTCAACGTCGGGATCCAGGAGACCGGCCGGATCACCGACACTGCCCAGTACCGTGCTCATACCGTTTGTTTACTTTCACCCGAGGGTGCGCGCAGCACACAAGCGCGCGCGCGCGCGCACACAAACACGACACGCAGCACGCACGCACGCACGCACGCACACGGCACACAAATCGCACGCACGCCAGGTACACACACACACGCGCGTTAACACGTTTAACCCTGTGTGTCCGTTCGATGACCAGTAGCTTCGCCCCGCGAACCGAGCCGAACCGAATCGAATCGTTTCTACACGGCGATCACGGGAATCACCAGCCGCGTTCGCTTTGTATAGAAGCACGCGGCACTAGCAGAAACGGCCCCGGCCCCATACCAACGCGAATATCACACAGAACGGACGCTCTGTCCGAGAATAATACACGATCCATCGACGACGCAGCACCGTTTCATCGCGTACTCGCCATCTTGCATCTCGTGCCACCTCTCATGCTCGTGCTCGTGTGCTCGTACTTGCGCCAGTCCCGGTTCACGACCGTTCCCGTTCCAATTCCGCTGGATCGTTTGTCCAGAAATACCCCCACGGCCGCGCATGCGCCTCACCCTGGAACTGGAGGGAGCGCCGAACACCGCCATCTGGCAGCGTACTCGCGAAACTCGTTTCCTATCCGCGCGTCGTTTCCCGCGTCAATAACTCAAGGGTTATATTTTTTCATAACTCGCGTGTATGTTTGTACACATATTTGTCTTTTTTGCCTTTCAACCGAATTCGGAGACCTTGAAAATTTAACGATCTCCTTCTGGAAGTAATCGCTGACAATATTATACATACAACATTCTTGCTAAACCGTTACATTTTCTTCGATAATAACCGAAATTCGAGCTGCGGCGTGGCCAAAAGAAAAATGCAAATTGCTCGCTGCAGCAGAAAACCGAAGGCAAGAAGCCAACCGATTTTAAAATATCAACGAGATACAGTTTGCAAAAATACGTATCCCCGTTTTTCCGAGACGCTCGATTGTCGAGTATATTTAAAAATACACAGGTGAAAGTATCTTTTTCGTACAGGAAGAGAGGTAACATCGTTAGGAATATTTTTATCACAGCGTTACACCGTGATTTCGGGCTGTACATAAAGGAATGCAAAAAAATATGAGAAACCTAAAATAGATCCCCGGGTGTATTGTCTCACGCGACGTTTCGCGCTTGTAATCGTACTTTCTTCGTCACGCGAAGAGCTCTGACCTTTTTGACAATAACAAAATCGATGTACACACTATGTTCCTGATACGTATACTTAAATTTTTTCTACTCTATGTGTCCGTAACGGTCGAACGCATGGATAAATCGCTCTGCGAAAACGGCAAAGTAATAGAAACGTCTGCAGGTTCGCCCAGGTAATATCTCACAGGATTTTCTCTATATAAATCGGTGCTAGTTCGACGTGATTAAAATTGTTGCATCGACGCGAGTCTTGATCGTCGCGAAAATCTCGCGATACCGTCGAAGCGAAGCACGCGTTCTCCACATTGCAAAAATAGGTTATCTTTCTACGCCGCGTTTCACTCCGTACTTTCGTCCTGACAGGCAACTGGTACAACACGTTCTGCTGGTGTAGCGTTACGAGAGAGAGAAGAAAAAGGAAGTGCATAGGTAGTTGTTCAGTGGTGTTCGAGAGATAAGTTCTGCTCTGTTCGCGACCGCGTGGCTCAAACAACCACCGAAAACCGTGGACGTGGTGTGCTGGTTGCAACGCGGCACCATCGACATCCAAGAAGAGGGAATTCAACTGTCCTTTAAACGGGTGGCGATCTTTAAAACACGACGCGGAAACATTGATAAACGTGCATAACAGATTTCATGGCGTGAACTCTTGTCGGAACCTAGGAAACGCGGGGTAGGAGGATGACAGTGTGCTTGGGGCAGGTTCGAATAATTGCGAGCAACGAAAAATCTATTTTCCCGAGAGTTATGTCTAGGTTATACCGTTGGATTGTCGTCCACATCGGCGTGCGTTGAGACAGACATGGGTATCTACCGTGAAAAACTCTCCGATTCCACGGTCGATCGTCGTCCGATAGAATTCTCAAGAATCTCTTCAGACGTGGCTCTCATGTGTTCATAACAATGAAAGCGACGTGCATGACTTGAATCAGGTTAAGTCATACAGTAAACGTTGTCCGCTTCGTTGTTGCTCAAACGTCCAGAAAGGAAAAGCAAGCCCTGATTTCCTTTTTGGTTCCGCTTTCCATGAAATTTTGTAAATCGTTTCATTTCTGATACACATTGTAAGAAAAAACGAACAAAAATTTCGGAGAACGCTGCACTGAATTGTGACAGCTTTCTTTTATTGTCATACTAGAGCACAAATTTGTTAGCATTGGATAAGGACATACAAATATTAATTATTATTTTATTTATTAGTACTTTATCTCTGTATTGCGTTTCATTCGAGGTGTCACGAATATGATAAAATTGATGCAAGCGAGATCATATTTTACATTGTTCAGGACATATAAACTTTAATAGTCGCTATATCTTCGCTGCTTCTTGAATCATAGATCAAGACTGTCTGCAAAAAGCTCATTAAAAAAAACCTCGATGTTTCTACAAATTGAAACTTTGTTCATTATACGATCGATGTTAAATAATGCTTTTAAACATTCGTAACTCTATCGTGTTTGTGTTAAGCTGTGATGTCGTGCAGTGTGATTTAAAGACAGTGTATGTGCCATTCCTTTCTTATGCAAGACATTGGCCATGGTTGATGCCTTGGCATTTTCATGAGAATCGTAGAAATTTAGGACCTCCTTAAACAAAAAGTTGGCTTTTGGTTAAGTTTTTCATATAGTAGCCTGTGGAAATTTATTGCAATCATGACAGATATTAATATTCAGGATTTACAAAATCTTCTTATATACTTCTCAAAGAACACTTACCGAGCTAAGGATGCAGATAATACAGTAAGTCGTTGTTTATAATTGACAGAAAATAATGGTAGAAAAACAGTTCGATATGATGCTATATTTTTAATAAAATAAATTATATTTTCCAAATATAATGGATATTATATTATTTCAGAGCCAAACAATTATGCAAAGATGTCTGCTACTCACCGACTTAGATTATACTCACGCTGTAATAAACAATAACGGAGGTGATCTCAGTGCACATTATCCTAGCCATCTCGTCATTCTAGAAAATGAGAAGTCTAATAAAAATCCAAACATTAGCGATACACCGCCACCACTGCCACGCACAACAGAAACTATATACGAAACCATGTACGACCCCAATAAACTGAAGGAATTGATAAAAAGCGCTAGATTTGCCAGGTGTCGTTCAAGATTTCCACTGCCAGTAATAATGTATAAAGGAAGACATGTCTGCAGATCGGCTACATTATCCGGCGGACCTGAAATTTATGGTAGATCCGGATTAGATTATTTATTTGCGGGTAGCGAAGGAATAGTCTCTATTCAGCAACAAGTAGACGAAGCACGAGGGAGTGACTCTGTACTTAGCGAATGGCAACTGTTTGATAAAGTCAGGCATCAAGATATCAAACTTCTGAAAACGCTTAATGTCGGAACTATCATCGATTTTATGGTTGAGAAGAAGAAGGTCAAGTTTGGAATGAAGTAAGCCAATCGGTTCGTCTACAATTACTTTTTGTTGATAGAGTAACTAACTTGTTGTCTGTTTTTTCTTTGGTATACAGTGTGACCTCTTCGGAGAAAGTAGACAAAGAGAAGAGGTATTCGAACTTCACCATAATTTCACTGCCATATCCTGGATGTGAATTCTTCAAAGAGTTTAGAGAGAACGATTATCTGGCTAAAGGATTAGTATTCGATTGGTCTCAGACTCACGTGGACGCGCAGATAGGAGTGCCTGATGATTCAATTTCCACTCAATTACGGATCAGTTGGGAACAATACCAAGTCTGGGATCTAGTCCTGCTAACTCAAAATTATTTAAAACTGATATTAAGATATTTGAGCGAGAGTAGTAATGGAATATTGATACATTGTATTTCAGGTACGTGTTGTTCTCCGACTGATAAGCGGTCCGGTTTCTGGTATAATTAAATAGTTATTTACGTTTTGCAGGATGGGATCGCACACCGTTATTTATTTCGTTATTAAGAATAAGTTTATGGGCTGATGGTGCAATACACGCGTCCCTGAACGCGTATCAAATTCTTTACTACACAATAGCGTATGATTGGATGTTATTCGGTCATGACTTGGAAGACCGACTGAGCAAAGGGGAAGAGATATTTTTCTTCTGTTTCTATTTTTTGAAGCACATCAGCGACGATGAGTTCAGTATTCATCCGCGTCACAATAGGTCCCGGCATACGGTTTTACGTAACGATAGTGACTCACAGTTAGACAATGTTATGTTCGATAGTGAATCGGTAGTGACGTTGAGTTCGGTCAGTTCCAACTTAAGTCTGAATAGTTGGTGTAGCTCTGTTAGTCAGAACAGCAGGGATAGTCAAGATAATAATCCACCAGCGGTGTTTCATTGTGCTTCCACGGAGAGTCAAGAAGATAGTCATAGTAATGGGTTCGTTGAGGATTCTACCGATTGACTCTCTTAATCTGTTTGCATACGCTTAATGTGACGTTCGACTTTCTTTCTGTTCAGGAACGTTGTACCATGGACCTTTTACCCCTCCCCGAACAAGGAGGGCGTCGCTCATGGATCACGGTCCCCTCTTCCACCGAATAGAACTTCTCCCGTAGCGGTTCCTGTACCTGGACGTCTTCGACAACGAAACGAATCTTCGTCGTCTGGTGGCTCCTGGCAGATGATATCTGGGACTGGCAGTTTACGCGGTTCCACAACTGCTAACGCTCCCATCGCAGATGGACTAACGTCTTCTGGTTTAGCTTGCAGATCTCAATGCGAAACATGTACGGGACACGGGTCTCAAGAATCGAGTACCACGATCATCGAAGACGAAGCGTGCGCGTTATTAGCACAGTAAGTAACGACTAGATAGATTCTGCCGAACTTTACTTGCATTCCCTGATATATAATATATCTGTTCGCGTTTCTCGTTTCAGATCTCGCAGAGAGAAGTTACAGTGTTTAAGAAAAATATTTTATAACGCTTACAGCCATACTGTCGGATTTCGAATGAAAGATAACTCCGAATCGAGCGCCTTCGGCCAGCTACTCGGTAATTTCGCCGAAAAAGTAGGAATTCTTTCTACTCAACGCACATCGTTGTGACTGTAAAACATCATTGATTTCGCCACGATCATCGATTCGTTGTTATTGATTCCTTGATTCAATTCAGAATTTTATATGACGCTTTTCATTAAGAATGAAACAGTTGTACATTATCGTTTATGTGAATAACACATTGTTATACAAGAAAATGCGTATTGTACGCTCGATATGAATAAAAACTTGATATTTTTGTATATATATATATATGTATATTATATGTATATGTATATATATTTATATATATATATTTACATGTATATATGTATGTAAATAGGTGTGTGTTCACTTGTTTTCACTTTATATTTATCACACGTACGTATATGTATACTTTTTACTGCCGTCTGTATGAAATTAATGCTAGCACAGATGCGTAGTAGTTAGAGTTTTAAGGAGAATTATAAGAATGTTACAGTGTACGAAAATAATTCTAGTAGATCATTTCACCCTTGATTTGCTAATTATTTCAATAAAAAAAGAAAAAAGAGAAGGAAGCTACCGAATTCCTGGAAAGTCACAAATTCAACACATGTACGATTCTGGACAATTTAACATGTTCTCTGCACATCGGGCATTGTGACTTGGAACTCAACCAGTCCGCAATGCAATACCAACAAAACAAATGACCACAGGGTGTAGCGGTTGTTGGTACTTTCTCCAGGCATAATTGACAAGTTTTGCTGTTTTCGTCGATTACAACATGCTTCTCGATGTAATTTCCATTGTCGTTGTTCTGCCAGATTTTCAGCACGCATTGCGCCAATGTAGCAAGTCCCAGTAATCTTAATCCCCAACTGACGCTATCGGTTGGACGACGTCCGTACACCTGATCAAGTTCAAAACAAAATTGTACAGAACGAAAAATTTGACCCAGAGAGGATATGGTTTTTTTTTTATTATGCTCATTACCTTAGCATAATCGATTCCTGTTAATCTTTTTCCCAGGCTGTAATATCGACCAGACATATAAAAGACTCCTTTATGAATTAGTATAAAAACCGGGATCATGTTAGATAACCTCGCTATAAATGCGTTTAAAAATGTAACAGCTTCAGGGGTCAGTGCGCTATGAGGATGATTAATTTTTGACTGTAATTTTCTTAATATTTTCAATAATACCTTTTCTCCGAAGCATTCTAAAATTACCGACACTACTCTCGCCTGCGTAAAACATGGATGATACAAATTAATGATAACGCAATACGTTAAATTCTATCTACGTGGATCGCTACGTACAAACAACGATGGAACTTTACGGGCTTCAAAGTCAGCCTGTACGATTCCTGTATATTCCTCGCCTAATGTTTGATTTCCCATTCCGGACGTGAAGAAGAAATAAAGTAATTTAAATGGCACATCGGACTGTATGAAAGGCAAGGTGCCCGTTCGCCTTCCCACGATTTGTAAAAGATCGATGACTTTTTCTCGCAGGGTTTTAATAAAATCATCGTCTCTCTGATACGATCGCAGAATCTCTGCTTCGCTCGCAGATTTCAGCTTTCTGTACCTTCTTACCATCATATTTGTTAACGATTTTCTATACTATATTCTGTCAACAAGTCACAAGTCATGTCATAAACATAACATTCCGGCCTATTACACAACATTTAATAAAGAAAGATCATACTGTAAGCTGATAATACACTGCAAGATAATACGAACGTAACCATAAGCGTGGAAGAAAATTTGGCACACCTCGTATAAAATTACCGTTGCGAGTGTAAAGAAAATAACCTTTGGATATTGTGTGACCTCCCCTCCCAATTACCGATTCATTAAATTAATATTCGGCTAATTGGCCGAATGAATTTTATATATGCAAGACGCAACTCGTCCTCGTCATGCGCAGTGCGTAGGCGACCGTTCACATCCTCACCGTTTTATATGCGGAGTGTGACGTGTAATTAGCACCGTGAACATTTGCCTGCAACATAGGACGACTGCATCCGCACGCCCCTCGAAATCCTTAACAAATCTCTCGCTATAGGCTAGTCAGGGAAAAGTGCGGACACGAGAGATGCAGCTGGGCCACCATGTGCACGCAAATAGTCACAGGTTATACTGCGTGTGACTGCGAGTCACGGTCATAAGGGTTACAAGGACACTGCACGCGATTGGTTTATTGGCAAAGGAGGTGGTACCAAAAACGCAAGGGGAATAAGAGTCCGCCATCTTTATGTGGCAGCCTAGTGCTGCCACCTGCTTCTTAAACGAGAACTACGCTTGAAATTTGAATCGACGAGTATCCGCCATCTTTGTGTATCCCGAACTGCTCGTTGCGATACTGAGACATTGAAACAGTAGCGAAACAACGTGGGAGTGCAAAAGATGTAACGTTCCATTATAATATGTACCAAAATGCTTCGAAAAATACCATTGAAAAAAGCAAATGGTGGCGCTTCTTGTGACAGAATCTCAAAGCTCCGCACAGCGCCGAACCTTATGCAGGTAAAACATTTGAAACTGGTACTAGAAAGGAAATTTTCTAGACAATTACAGAATTACCAACCATTACACGGAGCTTACAGATTCTACCACAGACGGCATCATAATCGATCATAGGTATCATAGAGTAAGATATCCGATCAATCGGATCGGCATCATAGAGTAAGGTGTTAGATGGGACGGAATAATAATTAACGAATTAGCGGGTGACATTTGATGTGCAATGGTTTATGCGATGATTTTATGTTTATTTTATAACCACGAATTCCTACTGTAAACGAAAAGTCTAAGTTAAATTATACATAACGTGAAACGGTGTGTGTGTGGGACAACTTGAAGCAGTGTTATTAATTTTAAAAATGGTGGATCACTCGATACCGTCGGACATTCTTGACGATCTCAGCAGGTTATCTTTTGCGGCAATTTTATTTATTATGTGTTGTTTACTTTGATTATATCGAAAGTAATGTGTGTGCGTGTCTTGTTTACAGTCGATTCATCATCAACGTGCCCGAAGAAGAGCGGAAAGATTTAGTTCGTATATGTTTTCAAATTGAACTGGCTCACTGGTTTTATTTAGATTTTTATTGTACAGAAGAAAATCCCAAACTTAGACCATGCAGTATGAGAGAATTTGCTACGCACATATTTTTTCATATACCGTTTTTAAAACTCCATGTAGCTAACATAGATAATATTCTTGAAAAATGGCGAGAATACAAGCAAAATGTTCCCACATTTGGAGCTATTGTATTGAACGAAGACTTAACTAAAGTACTGCTCGTACAAAGTTACTGGGCAAAAAACAGTTGGAGCTTTCCGAAAGGCAAGGTCAACGCGGACGAGGATCCTGCTCGTTGTGCTGTACGAGAAGTTTTAGAAGAGACCGGCTTTGACATTTCGAATCTGATAGACGAGAATGAATATATCGAGTCGATGATAAATGAACAATTAGTGAGATTATATATAATATCTGGTGTTCAGAAAGATACAAAATTTCAACCGAAAACAAGGAAAGAAATAAAAAATGTGGAATGGTTCTCTTTAGCAGATTTGCCAAACAACAAAAAGGACTTGACACCAAAAGTAAAAATAGGAGTTGGTCCGAATGCATTTTTTATGGTAATCCCATTTGTAAGGTAGGAAACAATTAAAGCAATTTGTTTGTACCTTTTAATGATACCTTCTAATGCTTTACATTGGTTTTTATACAGGAGAATGAGACGTTGGATACAAGAAAAACATTTACGTGATAAAATTAAAACCACGTTACGAAGACATAGACATAAATCTCTTGGCGATGTTGAAAGTGTTTCAAAGAGCAAACGACAACAGCAGCAACAAACACAACAACAACAGTTATTTAATCAGTCTGCACAAGTAATTATGCTTAGCCTGTAATTAATTACTGTATTTGAAATTGCATTGAGTACATTCTAATGAATTTCAGAGTGACATCACAAGTATTAAGGACTTTATAAATTTTCGGCAATCCAATACCTCACCTGCTCGAAATCGGGTATGGGTCAAATGTCCACGGCGTGCATATGACAATTCGTACGATAATAAAACTACCGCATCGAAAACGGGAATTAAACGTAATTTATTCGGCGAACAAAATGATGACGAAAGTTCGTCTGCTCTTGCTAAACAATTGGCAGACAGTCCACGAAGTCAATCAACTTGTTCATTTCTAATGGATCCAGCCATTCAGTCTATGAAATGCAATGAGTTCGGTTACGAAGCGCAAGCCTTCATGAAAGGTATTGCCAGTAGGTTGCTTGAAAAGATGTTGGGAAAAAGTTCCCTCGCGGTAAACTCATAATAACAAAAATAATGTGCTTTTTCCAGATCAGGTATCTCCACTTGAGGTATCGCAAAACATCGAAATGTCCGAGGGAAATCTAAAAGATTTATTATTTGACAAAGCAGTGAACAAATTACCGACAGATTTAAAGACTTGTTCCCCGTTCGTTGCAATGGATTACAGTGCCCGATTTGATTCGACAGACGATTTCGAAACTCGGGAATATTCCATGCAGCTGGGTTCAATAATTTGGGAACACTTCAAGTTCGATAAACAAGTAATATTGAATTGTTTGTGAATTGATTTTAAAGAAACGATTGTTATGGTTTTTTAAAGAAGAAAAAGAGCCACGTTCTACAAGTTGTATTAACTTTTTATGGTATTTATATATATGTATAGCTATATGTATATACATATACGTATATATAAATTTGCGAAGAATTACGTATAAAAATTTATAATTAAATATAATTTTAAACACTTGTGATCTCAAAGCAGTTTCTCAACGAAACTGTATTTTGTTCTTGTAGAATTTTCTAATGTACAGTAAGAATAACGGTAAAGTGAACACATTGTTGACTTATAACGGATATTACGTATTTAACTTTTTCGTTTATTCTTCAACGATGTGTCTACAGTAACTTAATTACGATAAAAAAAACGATACACCGACGTAATTGTCGAATAAGTGGAGATCACTAAAAAAGATACTACATATAATGTTTTAAAGAAATAGTTCGTTTTATATGTACTTGATTGGTACACAAGGAAATGATTGTGCATATACATCGTTAGCAACAAATTATGAAATGTTTATTTAAAATAGATTAGAATTCTTGAAAAAGATTATACAGATTGGAAGAACTACCGCAAGAATAGTAATGAAATACAATGATTTTTTCGCAAGGAAACTGCCTGCACCTTGAATGCTTCTAATAATCTCATTATTTAATGCAAAAACTACTTTACTCTCTTCGATAAGTTTATTTCTTGTGTCTTCGTCCAACGTTTCCGCAATCTTATTCATCGTCTCGCGTATATTTTGTTTAAGCTCATAGATACTACACTCAAAATCTGTAATATTATTACCGCTTGCGTCAATTTTTTTAAATGGCAAAATCTTCTGCATTAGTTGCCGTTTTTTACGTAGAATAATTCCTCCGCTAAGAAGGCCCATATACAGATGATAAATGTATGCTATCAGTAATGTAGGATCTGTATCTTCTATTTCCCTTAAGTGCATCAGATATTTGACGACACTGTCCCTAGAGCGTGAAACAATAGTAAACGTGAACTCTACATGCGAGAGTAAATTCATTGCAAATAAAAAAGAGTGTAAGAATATTCGAACAAATGTCATAGACGAGATTCAGTTTTAAGAATTCAATAAATTTGTGACATTTGTGCGATAGTATAAATAGAGAAAACATGCGACTTCGATGAACGTAAACGTATCTGTTAATATATACCCGGTGCATGTGCAACTACAATTTATACATAAACATTTAACAATACAAATATAAAACCTGTACCTAGGACTGTAGTTTCTCGTCCACCCTTTTCCTAAGTAAAACTCTAGATCGGACTCGAAAGCTTTCACACGAGAAAGTTTATCAATTGGAAATAATCCTATCTTAGTATTCTTTAATCTGAGCATAGCAGCTTCTAAATATAAGAATATTTCATAAAATACTAAAAGACCATCTGCCCATACGGAATTATTGAGAAATCCTGTTGAAAGTAAAAGGTATTTGACAAGGAGTTGGAGGATTAGTTTCTTTCATACGAACCTTCTTTCTGATCGCGCATAAACTATTTTCTATCGTATCATACTCCGGAAAATAATTAAAAATACATACTAAACGTACGATCGAGATACTAACCTAAATTACGTAGGCATTACGAATGAAAAAGTGTTGTAAAATAATAGAATATTTTACGTACGAATTATAATAATTTATCTTACCAAATGCTAATTTGGCATTCACTAAAGCGTCACTGATCGAGTGAATTTCTCTCGTGGCTTTTCGCATTTTCTTACAAAATGTATCTTCGCCTCTGTTCGACATCTTGATATTAATATAAGTAAATATATACACACATATAAGTATTTAACAAAATTAAAAGCGACACTATAGAACTAAGAATTATGCGTTTCTCTTCAAGTTTCTATGCTCGAAAGTTTGATTGTAATCAACGATCTTAAATGACAGTATTATTACAGGAATCAGAACCAACACAATGCATCACAAAGCCTTTTAATCTGACGTTTCGCAAGCTTGTCACACAACGTACAAAGTACAAATCGCGAATTTATCACGAAAAGTTAACGGTGCTGCCACCTGTCGATAAAGTCAATAGATTCTGTAGATAATATCGGGGTACAATAACTCGGTACAATACCGACAAATTCCGTCGATAATTGCATCGTCGGTCGCGTTGTCCAACAGTTTGAACGTTTCGCCGCTACGCGAACAGCGCCATTTTGACATTTTTAGAAGCAAATGGTTCCGGCAGGAAATTACGTCGGTTCCGATGGCGAAAGCGGTAAGAATCATTTAAATAGAAACTAATATTATCTTCCTATTGAAATTTGTCGATGTTTAAGTACACAAATTGTGGATCTTACGATAGATTTGAAAACAACTGCGAGAACATACGGAAAATCCAAACTTAACAACCGGATCGACGAGCAGAACAGGTGCTCGATTAATCGAGTTTCAAACGAACGATTATTCCACAATTTCTTGTCGAAATATATTGCCATCCGCGTGCTCGAATTAAAGCCAAGGAAACCGCGTTTTACGACAGGTAAGATGCAATTTGGAGATAATTGCGACAACAGGCTACAAATTAAAATTACAAGGATTTCTGCATACAACCGATTGCGATTCTCCCTAGAACGCATCTCGAGGTTATGTCAAGTAAAAAAAGTCCGTCGAAACGTGCAATAATAAATTCGATTTATTTTCGCCGAAGCGAACGAAAACTGGCGAACATGAACGATCCAGGCAGAACGACGCCTGCGATCCGAGTGTATACGTATCGAGGTTCTGCGTCGCCCCACCACCGCCGGCTCCCTAAAAACCGGCGGGCGGAAAAAGAAGACGACGACGAGCGCGCCGCGAAGGGTTAAAAATATATCGGAACGGTCCTAATTCAATGACCAGAGGCGGCGTTAGTGGGCAGCGTGCGGCGATTTACATGAACGGCGTCTGCGGCGAGGAAGGCGAGGACAGTCGGCGCATTGAGGATCGAGAAGGCAAAGAGAGCCAAGCCGAAGCTCGAAGGCAGAGAGGAGCTAGAGAGTGCCGAAGGCAGACTGGAGGAGCGAGAGACCTAACTGAGGAGAGCCCGCGGTGGAGCAGGAGAGTGGCGCGGCGTGTTGGCGGTACGGGTTGCTGAGAGCTGTTTGCCGATTCGTTGACTCGCCGGGACGGTCGGTCGCGGTCCGAGGGCTCACGGCTCCCGGTCTCAGTACGTCTCGTGACCGCGAGCCAAGGGGATGGACGTTGCGTTTCGGCGGCTCTACGTCCCGTGATCCATCGATCGAGATCGGCCCGGCATCCTCTCGCGGCCGAACCGGGGACCGCTGTCGCGCGCGATGCCACCACGCGAGGCCGGAACAACCGTCAGACATCTCGTGGCCGTTCCTCCTCCGCGGTGAGACAAGAAGAAGAAGGAACCCTTTTCGGTAACCTCGTTCGGTGCGGAAGATCGTCGGAAGTTTCGCGAGTGTTTTGATACGACGAGATGGGCAGTGAAGCGAACGCGGAGACCGCTGGTACCAACGCCGTGGATTCGGACGAGTCCGATAGCTGGGAGAAGTTCTTCGGTGAGTGTGGATCGATCTCTCTCGCTCTCGTTTCCTTTTCTAACCTCTGTTTACGAGTATGTTCGGTTCCTCGTAAGCAGAGAGATACATATACGCCCGTGTACGTACGCGTACGCGATGTGTACGGATGAACGTAAATATATATATGTCGCGTTTATTTTGACCGTGTCTCGTATACGACAAGAGGAGCACGAACGAGAGGTCTCCGCGGATTGGCGAAGGATTGTTATGCCCAAGAGACGTTGCTATTGTATACCGCGGGTTATAGATCTATCTCTCAGCCACAGTTTTCAGGTTTCTCTTGGCGCGGCGACGGTGGCGGTCGCGGGGAACGTTTAACACTAAAAAACCTACCGAGCAGTAATATTAATTGGGCATGTACCAACCGCTTCGCAAAAGCGAGAAGATCGAATTTATTTAGAATTTGTATAGTTTATATTATAATATTAACTAATATATATAGTTTATATTATATATATTATATGTATGCTTATATTATATATATATAGTTTATATTATATATATTATATGTATGCTTATATTATATATATATAGTTTATATTATATTATAGAACTTGTTCCAATGATATAACTTATTGAAGGAATTGCAATTGTAGGGTTAGTGTTAAAAATCTACCAAGCAGTAATACTAATTGGGCATGCACCGCTTCGCAAAAGCGAGAAGACCGAATTCATTTGGAATTTGTAAAGTTTTTATTATAAAACTTGCTCCAATAATATATAATATTACTATATGTTATATTATATATATATAAATATTATTATTTATATTAATTATATAATAATATAATAATAATAATATATTATAATAATATTGTAATAATAAGTAATATAATAATATAATATATATTAATATTATATATAATATATATTATATCATATTATATATTATTATGTATAATATTATTATTAATATATTATTCAAGCGTTTTCGACGAAAGAGTCTCGGAAAGCTTTGCGGAATTGCAAAATAAGAAAGCGGTCGTTTCTCGACCGCGGTAGCTTTGGTGTTAATTATTATTGCTCCGGTGGCCGCCGTTAGTGTGATACTTCTTTGACCACCACTGGGTTTGCGTGGCACGGAAAGTTGTTATCGCGTATACTTGTGCAAGCTAACACGTTAATAACTGGTAGGAAATGCAAACGAGGCGTAGGTTTTAGGGACGGAGGTCGCGCGCCGCTCCGCAAAGATACCGACCGAACCGTGTACGCGTTTCCGCGGTTGGTTCAACGACTCGTTTGTTCCAGATTCTTACCGCCGAACGAACCACCGTTGTTCGAATATATCGATCACGAAATTCAAGCAGATACATAGAGCGCGGCAGAGGGTTGGTTGCGCGGATCTCGCGCGCGAGGCTGATAACATTTTATAAAATCCAAGATATACACCGTGGATACGTTTCGTTCGCATTCCTGCAGCCGACGATACGATGATAAATTAGCGACGTTCACATTAGAGGCTGACCCATCGACCGGCGCGCAAATTTAGCGCAAATCTTGCTCTGGGTGCCACGGTTTTATTTTAACGCTAACTTTTTCCTTTGTAAAAATCATCATCATTTACAAAAGTCATCCAAGAATTTTCGTACTTAATTCTTAGTTAAACAAGCACAATGCTATATAGTTAGCTTGCTGCCTTTTAACGGCCAAGAAATATAGTTCAAATTGTTATTNTATATATAGTTTATATTATATATATTATATGTATGCTTATATTATATATATATAGTTTATATTATATTATAGAACTTGTTCCAATGATATAACTTATTGAAGGAATTGCAATTGTAGGGTTAGTGTTAAAAATCTACCAAGCAGTAATACTAATTGGGCATGCACCGCTTCGCAAAAGCGAGAAGACCGAATTCATTTGGAATTTGTAAAGTTTTTATTATAAAACTTGCTCCAATAATATATAATATTACTATATGTTATATTATATATATATAAATATTATTATTTATATTAATTATATAATAATATAATAATAATAATATATTATAATAATATTGTAATAATAAGTAATATAATAATATAATATATATTAATATTATATATAATATATATTATATCATATTATATATTATTATGTATAATATTATTATTAATATATTATTCAAGCGTTTTCGACGAAAGAGTCTCGGAAAGCTTTGCGGAATTGCAAAATAAGAAAGCGGTCGTTTCTCGACCGCGGTAGCTTTGGTGTTAATTATTATTGCTCCGGTGGCCGCCGTTAGTGTGATACTTCTTTGACCACCACTGGGTTTGCGTGGCACGGAAAGTTGTTATCGCGTATACTTGTGCAAGCTAACACGTTAATAACTGGTAGGAAATGCAAACGAGGCGTAGGTTTTAGGGACGGAGGTCGCGCGCCGCTCCGCAAAGATACCGACCGAACCGTGTACGCGTTTCCGCGGTTGGTTCAACGACTCGTTTGTTCCAGATTCTTACCGCCGAACGAACCACCGTTGTTCGAATATATCGATCACGAAATTCAAGCAGATACATAGAGCGCGGCAGAGGGTTGGTTGCGCGGATCTCGCGCGCGAGGCTGATAACATTTTATAAAATCCAAGATATACACCGTGGATACGTTTCGTTCGCATTCCTGCAGCCGACGATACGATGATAAATTAGCGACGTTCACATTAGAGGCTGACCCATCGACCGGCGCGCAAATTTAGCGCAAATCTTGCTCTGGGTGCCACGGTTTTATTTTAACGCTAACTTTTTCCTTTGTAAAAATCATCATCATTTACAAAAGTCATCCAAGAATTTTCGTACTTAATTCTTAGTTAAACAAGCACAATGCTATATAGTTAGCTTGCTGCCTTTTAACGGCCAAGAAATATAGTTCAAATTGTTATTTCAGTTTTTTAAAATGGCGCCAAGGTGGTGTACCGCCATAGGCGTACAACAGATAGTTTTTGCATGGCACCGGCGTGGTATATAATAATAATAATAATATATGATAATATATTAATATAATATATTAATATTAATATAATAAAATAATATATAATATATAATAATAATATAATAATATATATAATAATATATTAATATTAATACATAATATATATATATAATAATTAATATTAATATAATAAAATAATATATAATATATAATAATAATATAATAATATATATAATAATATATTAATATTAATACATAATATATATATATAATAATTAATATTAATATAATAAAATAATATATAATATATAATAATAATATAATAATATATATAATAATATATTAATATTAATACATAATATATATATATAATAATTAATATTAATATAATAAAATAATATATAATATATAATAATAATATAATAATATATATATAAAACAATAAAATAATATAATAATAATATATATATAAATGTATGTATACATATATATACATACATTTTTCATTCATCCTTGCTAACAGTTCCTAACTCGAACAGCCATTTGTAGCCGATCTAAGCTCGCAGCACCCACTAACGAGATATCTCCTAATCCGACAGCCAATGGGTTAAGATCGTCAGGCGAAAACGAGATTTTCATCCGAAAATTTTCCTATCGGTCGCGCCAATCGGAACGTCTCGCGAGCGACGACCGCGCGCGCGCGCGTTGATTGCGCGTAATGCATTCGCGCGCGTCTCACCTCTCGAGTGGATAATTTGGCCAATTTAAAACGTTGCTAGTAGCCAAAGGAGCGTAGACACGTGCCGCAGTATCGAACGAAGCGGCGACCAAATAATTCATCGACGCGGCCGATTATTTCGCGCGAATTTTTCGAATTCGATTCTCCTTCCTTCGAACGATCCCCGAGATACGATCGCCATTCCTAGAACCGCGCGAAGACCGCATTGTCGAAGCTACCACTCTAATCTATCTAGGTGATTGAACAATCTATCTTGCGTTAAGGTTTGAAAAAATCTGGAACGATAACGGAGTCGTGGAAAAGAAAGAAAAAAGAAAGAAAAAAAAATAAAAATACCTGGTACACGCGTATCGCTGTCACAATACTTCCTACATCGCATTCTACAATCGCATCTCGCTAGCCGAGTGAGAGAGAGAGAGAGAGAGAGAGAGAGAGAGAGAGAGAGAGAGAGAGAGAGAGAGAAAACGAGAGCGCACGGTTATCGCGAGCGGGACATCTTTTTCACGGACTTTCGATTAGAACTTATAAAGCGAATTCGCGCGCGTCGAAGACAAAAGCGGAGCGGATCGTCGCCGCCGGTTTATTCTGCGGCGGCGTTGATCTTCCGCGCGGCGATCTCTGCACGGTGGACGATCCGTTCGCTCGCGGATCCGTAGAAATCCGTGCGACAGGTTGTGTCAGCCACGCATTCGCTGACACCGGAGTGTTGTCGCTAGATCCGAGTGCTCGGGCAAACATTAATCGGATAGATCGGCCAGCGGTTCTCAATCGCGACCCGCGCGTGAAACGACGAGATTTCGAGATCGTTCGAAGATTCGATTCCCCTCGCCGGGCGTCCCCCTTCTCCCCCCCTCGAAAGCTCCCTGCGGCTCTCACGATCCGCGCGAGGCGCGAGACGCGACGGAAAAAAGCAAAAAGAAGAAGAGAAAAAAAAGAGTAAAAGAGACCCCGGTCGGTCGGACGCGCGCGCGAGCCGTTCCGAACCGAAGATAAGCGGGATACACGAGGCGCGAGTAACAGTACCGTACTATATTTCACGGAATTTCACGTGGAAGAGAAAACGTGAACTTCTTACGATTCGATTTGTCCGCTAGTTCAGCTGGCGGTGAGCGCGCGCGCGCGCGCGATCTCGTGTGTGTACACACGTGAAAGTGACGTTACGACCCGGTCCCCCTTCCCCCGTCCCTTATCTCGGATCTATATGCATCGTCATTTTTCAACGCGCTGCACCCGATCCGAGAATTTACGGGGGTTTTTTTTTACGCCGGCCAGATAAGCCAATTATCTCGGAGCTGCCCTTTACGCGTACACACGCTTATTATC